CACATTTACTTCTGCATTACTGGAATTAATTTACTGAGAATAGCTCACAAAATAACATGGAAAAGTCTGATATGGAAATATTCACAGCTTCTGAAATACTTTCAAAGGATCAAATAGACAAACACAACTGATAGATTATAACATGTATAATTATATATCATTAAAACAAGGTCCATTTCCCTGAACTTTTTCCAGTTATCCATTGGAAATAAAGGTTTAATAACTTCTATTCCTAATTTGAGTAGATTCCAATTAGTAATATATTGTACCGTGTTACTTGGTATCTGAACCTATTATGGCTTTGGAACCTTGATATTAAAACCATTTCCTCTTACTCTGGGAATCATACTCATTTACCTCTTAAGTCTCATAGCTATTCACACTAGTACAGTGGAGTTTGATCTCTGAAACAAAGAGAAAAGTATGCTTTACTTCCAGAACTGAAGCCTAGTTCCAGTTCTACAAGCAAACATAACTTTTGATATGAATGAATTGACAAAAGCAAAGTTACACTGTTGCGTTGCAAGTTCTCTCCTTTGGGTGTGCATGTGATACTGTGATTCATCTGGAAAAGGAGAAGGCTTGCATCACAATGCTCCCGGCATCAGTCGGAGCTCCCTAGCACCTCTCTACAGATGCTGGTGCATGAATGTGTTTTTCAGCTTATGTACACTACAGCACACTGAAATGTATTACTGCGTGTACTCATTGTGAAAAAATGACAGGTGTGGCCTTTTTACAGTTATAACAGATGAAAGGGGACACAAAGTGGTATTGTAATGTACCCCTTAAAACCGGAAGTATATGAAATAACTGAGATTTAAAGGAAGCTTGTTTTGTGATACTGGAAGAACTAGTGGGGGCACCTACAAAACAGATGAAATATTCAACTGCAGGAACATTATCAGATGAACAAGACATAAAACAGGCAGAGAAAAAAATTAAAATATTACAACATAATTATCATGTGATGTAGCTATATCTTTGTCAAACCAAAAAAAAGTATTCTGCTATGAAACAGTGTAAAATTAATGATATGCTACAAATTGGAAAACCATTTAAAATTATGAATCTATTCTTCATGTATTTTTTAATGACCATAGCAGGGTGAGTGCTGATTTACTGATCTATAACAGTACCTCTCCAATTAATAACATCTGCTATTTTTTCTATACAGAGCATTAGCTGTGGAGGGCATCCTTTTTCAGCATTCAGCTCAAAAATAACTAGAACAATCCCAGAATTGATAGATTTTTTAGATTTTGTCCTCATGTTGAAAGAGCTAAGTATAAAATACCTATATACTGCATCAGTTATAAAGGAAGAATGGTTTGAACTGGGGTGCTTTCCTCCATATCCTGCTCAAAAGGTTGCTCTTTCTGATGTGTCTTTTAAAGATAAGATGGAGTTGAAAGAGTAAGAGTAGAAGTAACCACTTCTACAAGCTGGTTCAGTATGATGATGATTTGTATTTGGCAATGTAAAAGAAAGGACCATAATCATATTTTATGCAAAGCAAGTCTTAGTTTCTTACTGATTTTTGCTGCATAGTTTTGCAATAAAGAGTAATTCTCATCAGCAGTATACAGTATTTCAGTAAATTTCAGTTGCTACACCAATTAATTCATGGTACTGTCCATGCCCGAACTTCATTTTCTCAGTTTTTTATGTTATACTAGACAACCTGTAACCCATTGGGTCAATGTTTCAGAGATATTTCCTTACCTAAACAGAGAAACAGAATTACTAAGGACAAAAAAGCAGTGGGAGTGTAAATGACTTGCTCCCGGCTTCCCATTGACTTTGCTTGTGGGAAGCTGGCAGGGAACATCAGAAATCTCCCTCCCTCCCTTCATACATATAGGCTTGCACCATTTGCCTCTCCTCACAACCCTCAGGAAAGCCCTGGTGAAGCTGCCGCCTCCTCCTCAGCTGACCAGCAGAACTGCCTGCCACTTTGCTGGGGGGAGGTGAAACAAAGGGAGCTGCAGACCATGAGGAAAACTGAACCTCCACTCCCCATTCTGGTATGTCCCTCAAGGGAGGAAGAGGGCTCACCCATCAACCACCAGCACCCCCCAGACAGTCGTACCTTGCCAGCAGCCATCCAAAGCTCACAGTCATTAAGAGATTTCAGATGTCTGCCTTGTTTCCAAAGCAGCCAATTGCTATTTGCCTTTTGGGCTTTGCTGCCAGCTGACTGGGTGCAGGGGACAGAGGGAGGTGGGAAAGAGGTTGGGGATGTGCCTGTGATGATCACATGACCTGGGCTGACCATGGTGGTGCAACAGCACAGCAGTGCTCAAGCAGCCACAAATTTCCCAAATTTCACTGGGCCCTGGCTTTTGGACACATTCTGTAAGTTAGCCCATTTGAAGTACCTTGGTTAAAAAATTGTTGCCCTATGATGCACCGTTTCACCCAGTTGAATGTTACAGACAGAGTTTTAGTAGTCTATAATTATATTGGTAATTTTATGCTGTTTCCAGAATATATAAGAACACGTTCCCAATTTTTATTTGGGTTTAATGAGACAATCAGTCCTTTAATGAGATGATCAGTCCACATAACACAGGTTCACCCAACTAGCAACTTATTGAAATGAAATTCAGCAATAAAACAAGCAAACTCATTGTTTTAAAAAATTTATATAACTTGCATAAATTGCTTTCAGCTTTTATGACCTTTAGTATACTTTTTTAGTTCTGCATATTCAGAATCTAGAAATTTCTAAATATTCTTTTGGCTAACCTCAGATGAGGGTTAGCATATATGTTGTCCCATATAATTTCACTTGGGTTTTACTAATTGCTAGTTCTAAAAGAAGAAAACAAAAATGCACTGAATAAATTACAGTGAACATAAAATCTGTGCTGGAAGTTCATAGAAAATCAGAAATTTGCCAGAACCATGAAAGAGGCATCAGATGTCAAGCCAATTCTTTTTCATAATCCAAATGGGAAAAGACCAATAAGTGAAGTTAACGGTTTGAAAAACATCAGCCACTTACTTCTTGTTACTATTATGGAACTTCTGCTTGGGATCAAACATTACAAACCAACACAAAAACAAAGAAGCATTATCTTGCTTAGTATTCTGTCATACACTTTTTTAATATGTATTTTGACCTTTTTTTCCTCTTCATCTGTACTTATGTCAGACTGACTCAAGATTGTTTAGTATTTTATTCTGCTTGAGTTGCAAAATATAGAGTCCTCCTTACATACACTGCAATCTGCAAGATATCTGACATGTAGTCTCAGTATTGAGTTGGCTATAATAAAACATTAAATGTGAATTAGAATTAACATTTGTACCTAGCTCTGCATATGTTTCATGTAATTATAAATTTAGTTTTCAATATTATATTCATTTATTTGGGATTAAGTCCTATATAACTGACTGATATACCCTTTAATGGTAAACTGAATATACAGTAAACATATTTTTTGCGACCCCTTTTATCTGGAACATATTGCGTAACTTTGGCTAAAACATTTTTTAGATACTGTAATTTCAAAACTTTACATTTATTTATTAAAAATTTTAGAAAAAAGTTCTAAAGTTCCTCTTATATCTTAGAATAGGATTCTTGATGGTGCCTAGAGAATTGATAAACTGCCTAGCTAGATTTCCAGGTGTTAAATGGAGGGACATTTATCTTCCATTTTCCTTTCTTTGAGTAAGCTAGTCCTAAGGATATAAGTTAGAGAGGGACTACTTTCAATATACTGTGATATGTTCATATCAAGCAATACTGGCAAAGCTGATGGTCAAAGTGGTGAGGGTTGCAGAAAAACTAATTCTGAAGTATTAAATCAGGTTAGCAAATATTCTGAGAATATTGCTTCTGAGGTGTTCACTGTGTCATGTCTTTGTATGAAATTTGATGAAACAATGCACAACTATGCCATTTTCACAGGCAGATTTCTCTTGTAGGTCATTACATGTATGTGGATTCTCTCTACGTCAAGCACTTTCAGGAAGTAGCTCAACTGGTCTCACCTAAGACACTAACTCCAATGTCAGGCTGTTTATCCTTTTATTATCAAATACAGCAGGAAAATGGCATTGTTTTTACTATCTATACAAGAGAAGTAAATGGCTTTTATGAGGAGCTTTGGAAAGCAGATAGCCCAATGAGCAATGATTGGCTGTTAGGTGAAGTTGACTTCAGTGCTCCATATCCAATGGAGGTAAGGGTATGAAAATAACTGACCTGTATCTTTGCATATTATAGAATTTGTAATGTTGTTATACTAATGCTTTCTCTTCAGTATAGTGTAACTATATTTTAAAACCATAGAGGCTTAATTTTAAATTTTCATTTTAAGAATGGGCATGAAATAATGATTTTTCTCCTTATGAAGTGTTAATTCCTTAAATTAAACTCCCTTGATGATTCTTATAAGATGCCATTCCTTTAAAACAAATCAGATGTAGGAAAATGGCATGTGAGGCAGGTGCATATTTCTTTGACAAATACAAATATGTGTGGCCAATCACTGCTTCCTCTTTCTAGATAGTGGAAAATAGATATATGGTTCTTTTGGAACTCAAACCTAGCCTGGCCAGGTAGACTTTGAGTTTGGTATGAAAATATGAATGTGTATGTTTGTGTGTGTGAATGAAGCTTTTAGTTCAGAAAGTGAACAATAAGGGTTGTAATTTTGTTTCTGCGTGTCCCAAGTTTCTGGGAAAATAAGAACAAGTAACAGTGGAGATGTTATAAAGTTTCCTCTTTAAGACCCTTGGTATGATCCTCCCAGGTAAGTGAGTGTATGCTTGCAATTTTAATCTTATATATAATATTTTGATTCTTCCCCCCCCCCATATTTTGGTCATATTTTAATTTTAACCAAATTATTATGATTTATTTGAGTCATAAACAGTAAATGATTTGAGGAAAATATTTCAATTTTTTCTTCCAATGTACAGTATATAAATAAGGGTTAGCTGTGAATGGTTGAGTTTGTTTCTTCCAAACATCTGACCACTGAAATAAACTGTTGGTATAGCTATAACCTAACTATGCTTGGGTATTTTTGCAGGTTATTTTTGAAGTTGCTTTCAACAGTGCCAAAGGAGGATATTTGGCTCTTGATGACATTTCTTTCTCCCCAGTTTTCTGCAGCAATCAAACAGGTGCAGGTTTCTCACCTTAATTTATATTTTAAATGAACTTGAATATGTTGCGCAATATACATTTTCCTTTGTCAAATAGTAATTTAATTGGTATTATCTAGGAACAGTTTGATCCTGTTGGGTCTGAGGAAGTGGACAGGGTCCTCTGGACTGTAAATGTCACAACTTGTCAGTTAGATCCATGTCTGTCCTGGCTGGTTGAGCAGCTCAGGAGGTGATGTATGGGTGGGTCCAGGAGATGGTGAATTCATCCTTGAGGGAGGGAGTGTTTCTGGCCGCCTTCAAAGAAATGGTCCTCAAGAAACCATTGTTGGATCCTACCATATTTTAGTCCAGTCTCCCACCTCCTCTTTCTGGGAAGATGGTTGAGAAAGGGGTGGCGTTGCAGCTCCAGAGGATCCTGGATGAAATGGATTATCTGGACCTTTTTCAGTTGGGTTTCAGGCCCAGATATGGGACAGAAACAGCATTGGTCACACTTTTAGATGATCTCTGGCGGGAGCGGGATGGGGGTAGTGCATCCATCCTTACTCTTCTTGATCTCTCGGTGGCTTTCGATACCATTGACCATGGTAACTATAACAATCTGCCACTCACAACTCCCAGCTTCAGTAACTCTCCTTGCAACCAGTAATGGTTCAAAAGAAAGTTCATTTATTGAGAACAAATGGTCAGTTCCAAGGCATTGCTAAGACTGAGCCTGCGTGCGCCAAAATTTGCTTTTACCTTTTTTCCCTTTCCCCCCTGCACCCCCCTAACCTCCCCGTCTTCTCACACCCGCTCATTGGTACAACCTTGAGCATTCCTCAGTCTTTGATAACAGCCCATCTGCCTCTAACGGTCATTTCTTCCATCCATCTTTCCAGATCCTTCCAGCAACCCCCCATGTCTCTTAATGGCAGAGCCAAAGCAAGCAAGCAAGTTGACAAATAATGTGGTTAATTGATTGCGAGGATTCTGACATTATCCTTTTGGGTCAGCTTGGGAGTTGGAGGTGGGCGGCACAGTTTTGTGCTGGTTCACCTCCTTCATCCAAGGCTGGTCTCAATCAGTGTTGATAGGGAGCAAGAGTTCCAGCCTGTGGTCCCTCCTTTGTGGGGTGCTACAGGGTTCGGTACTCTCTCTGCTCCTTTTTAACATTTATATGAAACCACTGGGTGAGATCATCTGCCACCATGGGATGAGGTATCATCAATATGCAGTTGATACTCAGTTATACATCTCCATCCTGGATGATTTAAGTGATGCTGTGACCACCCTTTCACGGTGCCTGGAGGTTGTGGGGGTCTGGATGGGGAACAACAGGCTGCAGCTGAACCCTGGTAAGACAGAGTGACTGTGGGCTCCTCTGTACCTGGGAGTTTACCATCTTTGGTTCTGGATGGGGTCGTACTACCCCAGACAGACTTGGTGCGTAATCTGGGGGTCCTCCTGGACTCATGACTCCTGCTTAAGGAGCAGGTGGCAGTCATGGCCAGGAGGCCCTTTGTTCAACTTCCATGTTGTGTGCCAGTTACGCCCCTTTCTGGATCGGGAAGCCCTCCAGTCAATCACTTGTGCCGTAGACATCTCCCGTATAGACTATTGCAATGCGCTTTACATGGGGCTACCCTTGAAGAGTATCCAGAAGCTACAGCTGGTTCAGAATGTGTGGGCAATTTTGGGTGCCCCAAGGATGGCACATATAACACGTTTGCTGCGGGAGCTGCATTGGGTGCCAGTTTGCCTCCAGGTCCAATTCAAGGTGTTGGTCATTACCTTTAAAGCCCTACATGACATGGAACCAGGTTACCTGAGGGACCGTCTCATCCCTATTATATTGACCCTTCCCACCTGGTCAGGCAGAGAAAGGTATGTTGCGAACCCCATCCACAAAAGAATGTCGACTGGTGGGGCCCAGGAAGGGAGCCTTCTCTGCCATTGCCCCTGCCCTATGGAACACTCTCCCCCCAGAAGTGAGGTAGGTCCCCACTCTCCTGGCCTTCTGGAAAGGGGCAAAGACCTGGCTCTGCCAACTCGCGTGGGGCAGGAGGAGGGGTAACCAACCCTGTGGGTGGTTAGCACCCTGAAGAGGCTCCCGTAGACTAATAATTTTTCATTTACCATCTATTCCATGGAATATATTATTTATTTAAGAACACTGTTTTATTGTATTTTAATTAATACTCATTCGTTTTATTGTAAATCGCCCAGGGTCGCTCTTTGAGTGAGATGGGGGATGGCTAAAGTTTAAATATAAATAAATAAATAAAGACAACCCAACATTTCTTCGGCATTAACAAACATTGGTAATCTGTCTCATATGTTATAATATTAGGACACCAATTATTATTGAGTAAAAAGAGTTCTGCCTGCATATAGGAGCTATATTAATAAAAAGATATTCTGCACACATTTCATATTTCTCCCATTACTGGTAGAAAAACACAGGAGGGATCCATAAGAAAACAAGATCCTATGAATAATGAAGGACAATTACACAATACACACTTTATCTGACAAATTCTCAGTGAACTTTTTGAATGGATGTGGCCATTCATAACTGCATCTCTAGCCATTTGTATGTTACAGTCTTCTTCCCAGTCTACAATTCTGTTTTGGCATATACAGTGGAACCTCGAGTTACGAATTTAATCCGTTCCATGACTCTGGTTGCAACTCGAATTGGTTGCAACATGAGGCAAATTTTCCCATAAGGTTCACTGTAATTACCGTTAATCCATTCCGGCATCCTCGGACCACATGTCAGGGGCGGAAAAACGGCCGCAGACCATGCGGCAGGGTGGAAAATTGGCCGCGGACCACGTGTCAGGGGCGGAAAAATGGCTGCGGACCACGTGTCACGGGCGGGAAAATGGCTACGGACCACGTGTCACGGGCGGAAAATGGCCGCGGACCACGTGGCACGGGCGGAAAAATGGCCGCAGACCACGTGGCACGGGCGGAAAAATGGCCGCAGAC